TACTGAGCACTCTAGTGAAATTTGAGCAGAGAGAATTGGAAGAAAAACGCGAGACTTTAATCCAAGAGACAAGGTAGGTCTCCTCTGCTTTTATCAAAAGCTATTCGTTAAATTACGTCTTAAATCGAGGTTGTTTTGCATGGTTTAGCGTTAGTGAGAAAAATGCGCTTTATTTTGAAGGTGAACTTCTAAAATGTTCTGCAAAAAATGGCTTCATTCCCTGAGGTCATGGTATAGGTTGATAAAATATTCAATAATCTATAGGTTGACATGAAATCCCCCACATCAATTAAAAAGACAGGTCTTATCTGGGTTTCTAGATTTCTGTCTTTTACATGTGAGTTAATGTGTTAGGAATGAGAGTACGGAATACTGATACGCCGACGTATGGCAGGACAAATGACGGAAGCTTCGGCGCATAGTACGGGAAGACTTTGCCGCCACTAATTCACAGTGAAGTGGATGACCCACCTCATCAAGAATGTGATCAGCAAATTTCTCGACGGCTTTAAAATGTCGCTGTATTATAACATCAGCTAAAAAGCACAAGAAACACCGGCAGCTGAAGAAAGCATTCAGAGGGTATCTTTAAAAATCAACAAGCCTTTTTTGAACCAAGCTGGAAAAATGACCTGAGAGCAGTGGAGAATGAGGGGGGAATGCGAGCATCTATAAATCGCCAGATTAGGGCTTGAGGTGTGTGATATGAACGTAATCGACGGACATAAGATAAAAGTGTACGAATTTTAATGAAGAGAAAAAAAATTAAATGCCAGTGTAACACCGAGGTACCGGAAAGAGAATACCTCATTGGACAGGGTGTCCAAGGATTCAGGACTGGGAGAAAGTCGCAATCGGAAAACGCACTGGACTGATTTCTGAGTATTTAGTAGAAGACTATTGGCTAACGACCATGTTGAGACGTAGTCTAGGTTACCTTTTGCTCCCGGAGATGTATCTGGCTTTTGAGAGGATGAACAACAACCATATCATCAGTATATTTAACATGCAAACCTTCGCTTGGCGATCGTAGGTCATCATTGTGGAGAAAGAATAGGTGAGACGATAAGATAGATCTTCGAAGAAATCCGCAGCTGTTAGGAAGGACCGTGGGTTTTTGCTTGCCGCATTGAACGAGTTGATTACGGGAAATGAAATAGTCCCCAAGCTAAGAGGCAGTCCAACCAAGAGAGCCGCATGCAGACGTTTTACTATGGAGGAGATGGCGTGGGATATCATTAGAGGCTCATAAGTCGTGAAGAAATGCTCATGTGTTCCTATAGTTTTCGAACCTACCCGACATTTTCTTGCCGGGTAGTTTTGCACTGCAGTCTCAACTCTCCTGTTAGTCTTACTGGTGAATAAGGTTCTTCCTAGAGGTCTCATCTACGTTGTTTTCCCGACACAGCGAAAACAAGCGGATACTGAAGGAACTGGAGGATCGACTACTACTGGAATTGGCTACTCAAACAGGCAACATTCTTGACAATTGGGAGCTAATCAACACTCTGGAGGACACAAAAGCGAAGGCCGTTGAGGTGGCTAAGGCACTGGAACTCGCAGCTGTGGTATCCGTGGATATTGATCGTCAACGGAACCTGTATAGGCCGGCAGCAAGGTAGTATCCAGCACGCAAAGACAGTTATCACCCCCTTCCACGTTTTAAGTTGTCTAATCTGCGCTTTGTGTCTCCTGTAGACGAGGTGCCATTCTCTTCTTCATCCTCGCCGACCTCTCCATGGTCGGGCCGATGTACCAATTCTCGCTGGCTGCATTCATCCAGGTGTTTGTGAAGGCGCTGAAGAAAGCTATGCCGAACAGCTCGCTGCCCAAAAGACTCAGCAATATTAAGAATTCTCTCACCTATTTGGTCTTCAGTTACGGCTGCACAGGTGGGTGTAATTTGCACGACATCGACCGGTAACAGTCTGATTTCGGGCTCACTACAGCAGGTGAAAATTCCCAAGCATTCTTGATATAGGGGACCGATGGTAATAAGGGTCAAAAGGGTGGGGATTATCAGGGAAAGAAAAAAATTAATAAAGTAGAACGTATGAATAATAGGAATAACTGTTTAAATAACCTAATGTTTGGCAAGAAAAAAAGCGCGCGATAATTAAAATGAAAAAGGCAACCAATAGGAAACAAGAGCTGTCCAAATTGCGGAACTGCGCAAGGGCCTGAGCTATAAGTAAACCCCGACTAATCAAAATAATTTGCGAAAATTCCCATCGGAGAATTCAGAAGGGTAGTTGGCAAGCTTACGTAAGCTTTCGGTAAATTCTCATCGGGACAGTACATTTATATGGGGGTGGAATACAAGTTAAAATCTCTTCGTCTTTTTATCTAAGCGAGTAGTGGGAGTAGGGGGAAGGGGTCGGTAAGAGAAGGCTGGTTACGTGGGAGGGGGGGTTGGTGGACCCAGCCTAAAAAAGATAAGTTAAACTAAGCTGAACAATAAACTAAGCTAAAATTAATAAAACTAAAAGTAACCGCAGGACGCTAAAGGTTTCCGTGTGTAGAGTGCATTGTGGGTGGGCTGTGTCATACATTGGTGTGAGATTGACCTGCTTACTACTATTAAATAAGTAGGCAGTTATGCGAAGTAAGCGTATTGAGCCCGAAACCAGACACTCACCCATCGGCCGACAAATATCATCTCCACCCGTGGGTGCATAAGCAACCCCCAACCCTGCCTCATACTATGCTTTCATTTTTAGCCCTCTTTGAGGATCACAAACTCTTACTGTCCTTCCAACTGGCGATTCGGATGGAACAGGAGGAAAAGAAGCTGCGACCCAAAGAACTCAATTACTTTGTTCGTGGTAACCTTGCCCTTACCGACGAGCACTTCACTCCACCCTATTCCTGGATACCGGAGCCCACATGGCGTGATATCCTCTACTTGGCGGCATTCTTGCCAAATAAATTTGGTAAACTGCCCTATGATGTAGTAAAACACCCGGACGCTTGGAAGGAAGTAAGCATCAATGCTGACGCGTTGGAAGTTCTTTTTTCTTTTCTTCACACATTCGCTTGCATTGGTCGAATTTGTCTAGCGGTCCATATAGAAGCAGGTAGGAATTCATCGTAGGGCCATCCAATGACAAACGTCTTCCGGCCCAAGTGTCTTATGGAATTCGTGGTTAAAGGATTAATGCTTAATTAATGCGTATTTAATGCGTGATAAGTGCACAATAAGGAAGAATGCAAAGCCACTTGTAATTGTTTTACTAAACTAAAAAGTTAGATGAAATGGTTGCGGGAAGAACAAAGGAACTGAAAGGAAAGCGTATAGACCAAGAGAACTGTTGGAGCAACTCCTATTGGTTAACTGTCAAGGAAGTGTTTGGATAGGCGGAAATTTGACCTACTGATAATTTACAAGTAGTCTTCCTTTACTATTCGTATCCTCCCTCAGGAGGCCCCCTACGAATCCCTACCTTGAATCCTTCTGGCCTAAAAAGTTGGAGATCATATAGATTCCATCATTGTTAAGGAGAATGATACTGTTAGTCTTTTGATACCTCCGGTGTCACTTGTTTGTAGAGCACAGCTAGTTCGTGCCCTCAAGACGCAGGTGTTGATAAAAGTGGATGACAGACATTAATTCCTAATCAGGTAATTCAAATGTTAATTCCTTAAACTTCACACATTTCCTTTCAGTAGTCACAAATGAGCAAGCATGTTCCTGAAACTAACGGTGTTTTCCTCGCAACAAAACATTCTTGCTTTTTTAGGATGCTGAAAGCAGTCTCCCCATCTAGCCACAAATTGGAAAATATACTCAGTTAATTTCGGAAACGCCTACTTGAAAGGCATACTTTCTATGCATATTTTGTTTCGCCTATATTCAATATTCTGCGCAGCTCTCCACATCACGTCACTTGATTTGTTTCTGTTTTGTCTCTTCCAGTGGTACGACTCGGAAACCCCCGAAGTCAACGACATTCCCGGCCGGTTTAACAAGTTGGCATCATTTTCAAGGCTCTGTCTGGTTCGTGTCTGGCGAACTGATCGCGTACCGGCGGGCATCACCAGGTTTATCTTCGACGCCATGGGCAAGAGCTTCGTCTCACCTCCAATGACAGCACTGGGCGATGTATTGGCCTCCACCAGTCCCGTCATTCCGATCGTTTTAATCGTCCAGCCCGGTTCTGATCCACCGGCCGCCCTGACAGGGCTTGCCCAGTCCGTTGACTTTTCTGTCAATAAGATCAAATACCTTTCCCTAGGACAGGGACAAGAACCTGTACGTCAAAGCAAATGCTGGCGAAAGTTTTATCGACAGTGGATTATTTTAAAAAAATACTTATATGTCTACTATATGCATTTTAGTAGACGTAGTTGTGGCACTTTATTTTGATTTGATCACACCTTTCATATTGCATTGCACTCTCCACGGAAAACACATATTTCATGTTATTTTGCACCCCACACGAGAGTATTAGTGACTCGCGGCCATTTCTCATAGGCCTTCTTCCTACTTTGCATGTTCTTTCCTTTAAAACATTACCGTCATAGGAGTAGTGTGTAGCATGCGCTTATGTTGAACTGTCAATGGGATTAGTTCGAGTAAAGGCAACACTTCAGCTGTCCGGCAGTGAGGGACCAACAAATCGTACCTTTCTGGTTTGCTGCTAGTTTAGTTTTGAATGGTGAACTGCACCCATTCGGACCACTTCACTCGCGATTTTGGACTGAGCCTATTTTTAAGTAGAGAATATATATTGACCGACCGCTAGAACGTTAGACTTTCTAGTGTAGGTGTTTGGATTCTTGGGATGGCCAATCACATGATTTGTGCACTCTGGCTACTGGTAAGCCCCCTAGAAACCGGATCTATGTTAATGATCGCAAATCAGACGTCCACTATCAGTGACGAGTTACCTTTGTATACGTTTTAAAATTCATAGGCTACTTACGAGTAATCAGTAAACGGTTAAACTAAGCAATATTAAATCTTCATCCCAATCCCGCAGGTTGCTGAGGCGCTTTTCGCTAGCTGCATGGCAAGAGGTCATTGGCTGGTTCTGCAGAATTGTCATCTTCTCTTGTCCTACACATCCCGACTAGAGAAAATGCTGGAAGATGCCGTCAAGCCTCACCCAGATTTCCGGCTCTGGGCCACGACCGAACTGATCAGCAACTTCCCCGTCGGTCTCCTGCAAGCTGCCTACAAGGTAACAGTTCATTTTTTGATGGTAACTCGACCCATCACAAGTAATTCACAACTTACTATACTACTCGTGCTAAAAGAATAATCATGTTTTATAAATATTTAGATAAAGCAGCAGCTGCTTGCTTTTCGTCTGCAAGCATGCTATTGACGCATTTTTTTTCTATTTTTCACTTGTATTCATACATTTCCTATCCGTCTTTTTACCAATAGGGAGCTCAGTGCGTTCGCCTATCTTTCCCTTAATAAACTGATACCCTAGACATCTGCATAATTAGTTTGCCTGCAAGAACAAATTCACAGTACGTCTGCGAATAAACATCTAGTAGGCGATATACTAAAGTTTATCTCGAAATGTTTGAGTGAAGAAGACTGATAAGTTCATTTCTGACCCAATGACTGTCGTCAGCCAACGCTATCCAACTTCGGGCTTGCATAACCTTGGTTTTGAACTCGGAATCTTCTGTCAGTAAACGTAAAGTCCGGCGTTGGACCACTAAACCATGGATCCACTGCCCTATCTTTTGCGCTCGGTGATATAAACCACAGCAGAAGAACTTTGTTTTGTCGGTACACATATCGCAGGGGCTTAGGTTAAGAGGTTAAGCCCTTGCCACTGCAACCTTCAAACCCAGTTCTGTAGGGCAAGAGAAGAAATGATACGCCA